AAAAAAAAAAAAGCTGTTTTTCTTCACCGCCCTTTACAAAGTATTATTTCTAACTGTCTTAATGTGTGTTTACAGCTAGAAAGGACTCGCGCCTTAAAAATGACTTCTTGGCGTTATTGTCTGTCCGGGACTTGTGTGTGGATTTTGCTGTCGCTGCTGCTAGTTCAGGTTCTCTCCAGGTAGGAAGGAAGTGAAAGGGGTCTTCGTTCTTAAATTAATAACGATACTCACATTTAGACTTCATTCATCCCTTTTGCTGCAGTTGCATTGGCAGGTTAGGTTGCTTTTTCTGTTAATGAAAATTAACAAATTCTGTTCTTAGGGAGCATTTTTTTCCATCGCTATTAACAAACAGCCACCACGCTGTAATCGTCCCTCATCAGAGACTGGGTAATGGGGGCTCTGAGAGGACAGGACAGGACAGGACCTCACTTTCCATTCAGAGGTGTGTCCTGCCGCTTCGTGAAGTAACACCATCCTTGTAATGTCCGTTCGCGATAACTTCTTAAATGAGACAACTTCAGTATAAAACCATTAGTTTTAGATGTAATAACAGGGGTTGCATTGTGCCCGTTGGGCTCGAATCCGCAGTCTCTGTGACCTTCTCCTGATGCTGTTCCATTAATTTCAGTGGAGCTATTACTGATGCCTTCCTGCGTTGATGGGAAGAGCCTGCGTTTTTTTCCAGTGGAATAAATGTGCCTGTTTTGTGTTAGCATTCTTCTTAGAAGTCCTTTTCACATCTTTAGCATAATGGTGGGGAAGAAATGTAACGGGATGGAAGAAAAATGCGCTGCAATGACCATTGTCTTTTGAAGGAAAATGAGCTTCTTTCTCATTTCAGTAATTTTTCCTTCAGGCCCTTTCGGAACTGTAGAGTTTGTTTCATTCCTAAGTTTAGCCAGAGGGAGCTTTTACAGGTATTAGCTTTTAAGGCAATGAGTGGCCCCTGCATAAATGACTGTTGCTGATTGATCATGTGAGGACAGGCTGGACCAAACACACCTCCTGAAGAAGTTAATCTTACCAGCTTTGCCAGCTGGAGTCAGTGACACATGTCTGCAAAGTCTTTCCTTTTTTTCTCCTAAAGAAAAAGAGGGGGGGGAAAGGCAAGAAATTAAAACCCAACCTTAAATTGCCTTTCTCTTCCTTCCCCTACAAAAACCCAGCTTAACACAAGGCTAATCAGAGTAAGGTTGTAGCTATTTGTTATTTTCACTACCAAAAAAATGTCAGTCTTCCCCCACGTTTGTGAGCTTGCATTGCCTCTTGTGCTGTCAAAAAGTTGTTGACAGACTTTTATGCAATAATACAATGAAATGGCAGAAAAACATGCTAGGAATGGCTTGGGCAGTAGATTGCTGTTTTTCTTGCCCTACCTACAGATCTCAGAAGCAGTGCATCTGTGTGAGTACCTTCAGGCTCTGAAGACACTGGCACCCTGACATCTTCACACTTTCTTCAATTACACTATCACTGGTTAGGTTTTACTTACTTCTCTCCACTGGGAGCGTATTTTAAGTAACATGGTTTAGTCTCTGTCCTGCTTTTGATCCCAATTCAGTGGAGAATAACACATGGAAAAGTAAATACAGTTCTAGATTCTCCTTTTAAAGTGAGGAGGGTATGTATAGCATCAGCGATGGTGTGTGCTCCCGGTCCAAGTTGATTAATTACATGAGATAGTTCACTTTCTTCACATCATCATCTGATGTTACCGGAACTTAGCTAAAAATATGGTGAAGGTTGCAGTGATGTATCACTGGATCAACTGTTGATGTCCCACAAGAGGTCCTGTTGAAGCAGGAGCTCTTAATTTTTCAGCTGTCTATGCAAGGGTTTGGGCTACCAAATATCATCAAGAAAACCTGTATCAACTGTTTTAAAGCGAACAATTCACAGAATACATGCAGCGAAGGGAGCTCTGTTAATTAATAGCAAATTGCATGTTAGTAAGTGGTGCTGGTGGACTACAAAGGGAGTTCTGTCCCGTTTTCTCATATTTCTTAGAAACAGGGATAAAGGTAGTATATATTCTTTCTGTATTATTGCCAGTTTAGGTTGCTTTTAAGGTGAAATCTGTCTTATTTCAGAAAGAGTGCTCTGTCTTCTCTTCAGAAAGGTGCTCTGTCTTATCTTGCAGTTCAGAAAGAGTCAGTGCATTTCAGCCCCCTCCTCCCCCCCCCCGAATTTGTGAGCAGTTTTTACAAAATTAATCTGCACTGTAGTGGTTTTCACCACCATTTTGCCACTCTCATTTTTGTAATACAGCTGGACAACTGTAGAAAACACAGTCAAATCAGAAGAGAGCCTTTTTTTGCACTGCAAGTGATAATTGGAAGGGATGGAAAGTAAACACTCATTTTATGACAGAATTCTGCTAATCTTTTGCTGTTACCTATCTAGCAAGTTAATTCGGTACAAAATTATGCCACTTACTACATACATTTTCAGTACTATGCACTTTCTGCCTTGTACATGTACAGCAAAACATCTTGCACTTTGTATTTCAGTTCCTCCAATGCATGTAAATTTTGGCTTGGAAAATTCATTATTAGAAATCTGAAACTAATGCTGTTTTAAAAATCAAGATTTGTTTATTGGTGCTCAGGACCCCTGATGTGGGGAGAAAAGTGCTTATTGTATTCTATTCAGCAGAAAAGAATAGCACCTACTCTTATTTAGTGAAATGCATTGTAGCTCTTCATTTCGCTGCCGATTAGAATGAGAGTATTCGTATGCCAGCACAGCTTATATGCTGTAGATCAGCTTGTTGTGCAATAGAGAGCTGTTGGAGAACATTATATTTTATTTAGTTTTGTATAGTAATTTTATTGGTGTGTATTTGGAATGAAATGCTTTTATTGCTTATTCATGGAACATGTGATTGCTTCTCAGTCCCTGGAAGTGGAGGATTCTGCAAGTTTATTACTGTTTCTGGTCATGTTAGGCTTAAGTACCAAAGCGGGCTGGTGGTGATACGATACCCTGTGTTCTCAGTGCCCATGGATATGTTTATATTTTTGTTTTTACAGAAGCAGAATTGAACGTCTTACAAGACAGCGATGGCTTTTTCTCTAGAATTTGAATATGGAGGCCACAGGGACAGATGAAGTAGAAAAGATAAAATCAAAGTTTATGTCTGCATGGCACAACATGAAATACAGTAAGTGAAACACTGAACAGTAAAATCCTGTCTCCACTGAAATGAATGGAATTTTACTTCTTGACATGAATGGGATCATGATTCAGAAACTTCACTAATATTAATAATAAAAATGCAATATGGCACTTGAAACCATTTTTACTTTGATATTATGAACAGCCTGAGTAAACAAAGTTGTTCAGCTTTTCTTTTTTTCAGAGACATTTGCACTATTCCTTTTTTAAATGACTTATTTTGAAAACAGTAAATACATTGTGTACACGACCCCAGATTTGCATGGACTTTTAAACAGGGATAATATGGGCTCATCTGTATAAAGATATTTTATTTTTTATATGTACTTTTCTGGAAAAAATAGGATGGTGTGTGAAATACAAACTCCACTTGAAGAATATATTGCACACACTTGAATAATGTACTTTTCCACAGTTGAACATCCGTAATTTGTTTATAAGCAACCAGATTTTCAGGTGTGCCCTTCACTAATCTGTCCTTAACCTTAATTTTTCTACTTTCCCTCTAGGATTGAGGTTGCTCAGATTTACCACCAGGCTTCTGATAAATTTTGTTAATTCTCATAACTGAGCCTTGGATATGTCTGGCAAGAAGAAAAGATACTTTTCTTCTACTTTCTCTAAGGCTATCACATGGCTGAAGGGGAATAGTAGTCATTACACCCTATATGTCATAGGAAAAGTTCAAGAAACTCTATGGACCTAGGGTATAAAAAACCATAGGATTTAGACTTAAGTGAAAAAAGCCGCTGTCTGGGGACGTTGTCAAAACCTAAAAAGCAAATTCCGTCCCTTTGAATTTGTACCACTTATACTACTCTTTTCGTGTCTGAAATTTGCAATTTAATTTTGTGATGAAATATATTTGTTTAATCCTACGGGAAAAGCAGTACTCTTCATGCATTTTCAGTGGTCATATGTGAAGTTACTTTTATGTTATTATAGGAGTTGGATGAGGTAGATACCTCAAGATACCTCAAGATACCTCAAGAATGAGGTAATGAACTCACAATAAAGACAAAGCAACTTAAGCTCCGCGTTAGCATTTCTGTGTCCTAACAATTTCTGCGCAGTAGTACCATTCTATTAATACTCAAACATTCATATATGGGTAACATCGTTAGTTTTAAACCAGAACTTTAATCTGTGTTTTGTAGAACTATTAAACCTTTGTTATTTATGAAAGCAAAAGCCAATTTCAGTATATTTTCTCTATGTTCCCCTTTCGTGGGTTACCTTTGGCATAATCAGATGCTATTAGAAATTCCTTTTTGGAATGCTTTAGTCACAAATTCGTATATTTTTTTTGCATCCATTTTAGGTTGGGTGTTGAAAACAAAAACTTACTTCAGTAGAAACTCTCCAGTCTTTCTGCTGGGAAAATGTTACCACTTCAAAACTGATGGTATGTACATAGCACTTAACTCATTCCAGTCTTGTTCTCTGTGGATATATTTTTAATCTTCTAGAAAGACCACTACTAATAATTACCCAATTCAAAATGTGAATATGAAAATCTTAGAAATCACTTGCATGTCCAATGCCACCACTAATGCAACCCATCCAAACCTGCTTTATTCAGATTTTACACTGAAGTCTTGTTCTTTCTGTAAATATTAGTGCTGTAATTTGCAATTTACTTTGTTTACCTATTTCTTTCTAAAAACTCCTGAATGAAATAGGGACAATACCTGTACAAAGAGTCACTACACCAGCACCTTAGTGACCGTTTTCCAGCGTGCAGTTTTCTAAGAATCTCTCTATTTGACCATATACGTTTAGGTGAATGAAGCAGTTGCTTACTTGCAAGTCAACAGTTCCACTGGCACAGTGATGTTGGCTCCGTTGTTCTTTTTCTTTTCTTTTTTTTTTTTTTTCTCCCCAGCTGGCACATTTCTATTATGTTTGCCTTCCAGTTTTCCTTGCTTGTATTTGAAGCGATTGTTACTTTTGCAGATTTGCCTGATTTTTCTAACAGAATGCTTGTATGTGTTTTACTTACCTTCTAATAACAGAAGTTATAACTTAAACTGTGCTTTGCCCTACAGAATCTGGCGAACTCTCTACAGATGGGTCCAATTTTGATAAAATCAACACGGAGATTTCAGGCAACGTTGAGGAGTTTCGTAAAGATTTTATTTCTAGAATATGGCTGACTTACAGAGAGGAATTTCCTCAGATAAAGGGGTCTGCATTAACAACAGACTGTGGTTGGGGTTGCACGCTGAGAACTGGTCAAATGCTGCTGGCTCAAGGTCTTATGCTTCATTTTCTTGGCAGAGGTAAGTTACGAGAGAAGATCTCTAGATTTGGTATGATAAGCACAGGTGTTCTGCAGGGAGTGTGATGGGCTTTATGTAGCCAGAATCAAAAGGGTGTGCTGGTTTTGGTTCTGGACTTCCTGTCATTGACATTGGACTTGTTCCGTGGCATCAGAGCAGTGATGTAGTTGACCTACTTTCCATTTCTGAGAAAGGGAATACCAAGGTGCGGCAAAGGAAGATACTGGAAACTCCACAGAAGCTAGCTGTGAAGTAAAATACCACAAAAATTTGTGATCCCATACCTGGGATTCTCTTGAATATTGCTCGTTTCTTAAACTCAAGGTGTGGAAATAGGTTCCACAGCCCATAGCTGTGGGCTATGGTAAAAGTGGTGTTCTTTTATCAGTTCTAAAGTTGTACATTATTCAATTCTTCTAGTATTCATATATTGAGTTAATAGAGGGATTCTAATCTAATTTCAATACATCATTCTTAGTGTTGAAATTTTCACTATTTCATTTCCTCCCTTCCCCCCTGAGTACTCACAGAGGAACTTCCCTTTTTTTCCTATCATTGTCTATCTCAAAATCCTCCCTCAGTCATGGCTCTTTCAAAGAAGTAGCTTTAGGAGACTCGGAACACTTTCAAAGGCTAAGCATGCGCATTCTGCCCATTCTTCCAAGCTGAGCCAAGTCCTGCGTAGAGGTATTTTTGGTTCTCATCATTAACCACCTTTTCTTGCCATCCACTTCCCCATGCTTTTCATAATCGACCACTTTGCCCCTTTCAAACAGTCAGTCCTGCCCTGTCGCCACTGCTTGTTGTCAAAATGATCCAAGACGTGGGCCTGACGCCACCCAGGCATGATAGTTAGAGAGAATACAGTGTATTGTTTACTCAGCCATTTGTTGGATCCCAGGAATACTTTAGCCGAAGATAGTTCTGAAAGCCTGTTTTGATAATACTTTGTACTCGCTGTGCAAATATGATGTAAGCTGTGAACAGAGTCCCAAACCAGCTGCATCACAAAGTCATCTTTCTTGGCAGTGTCACGACCGAATTGTCAGATTGGCTTACTGAATGTTCCTTTGGCGGTAGATATTTAAGTCATAAAACATACATTATCCCTTTCAACTGACTGCAAATATCAGAACGTATGAAAATACTTCTGCTGAGAACACAAATCCCTTAAATACAACTTCTGTTATACATACATTTAAAGAAATAAAAAAAATTGATCAGAAAACTACCTGTGAGTTGGGATGTGTAATGGCTCATTCTCAAGTAACCCCAAACAAAAAAGCCCCAGGTTTATATCTTTAAAATCCGTGGTTACAAAGAATTCCTTGCACCGCCCCCCATGCATCGTAATCTGGAAAGTGATTTGGTGATTCCAGAGTGCTAGTGCTTCTGTGGCAATCCAAATGTGTAGAAAAATGGGAGTATGTATGATCTTTCTGGAGTACTTTTCTCATCACCTAGTCTTCTGACAGCTGGTGAATTATCTTTTGAAAAGCTTTTTATGAGGTCTGGGTAGCTTTTCAAACGTATTTAAGTGTTTCCGTGAAGTTTTTCATCGCTGTTTACTCTTTTCCCAGAGATGTTTTCATTATAGTTTAATGGTATTGTTTCTGTTACAAAGCAAAACTTGACTGTGGTTACTAGCTGGAATACTTCCACTTCCACTGCTACGTGGAATGTTCCAGATATTGCTGAATGATGTTGTAAATGAGTTTTTATTTTAGATATTAAGGTACTGCTAAGTTTTACTTTGAAATGCCTGTGCTTAAGGCGCTGACTTAAATTTGAAGCTCACAGTACAGGAGTAGCAAAATCTGTGATGTTACATTGAGCTTATGCATGCATCTGCCTGGGTCTGCAGTGAAAAATTAACACGAAGTTTCACAGGGGTGTCACTTGTGGTAAGGGGCATTGACGTGTGGTGGCTGTCACACTGTAATGAGTGGGTGACATGGATTACGGCCATTACCAGCAGTAGTTGTGACACTACTGGAACCCCAAGTTAGATTCTACAATTAAAATATAGTTGCCTCTGTGCTTCCTCTTTGTTTCTCAAAGACTTTTACGTGGATACTTCAGTAAGAGTTACGAGGAGGGCTGCGGTTCTTGCTCTCTGTCAGGAAAGGTCCCTCTCGCCGCTGTAATGGCATCTTTCTGAACCTCCAGGAGCTTACCCAGATGTGGCTGGCTGAGGGAAAGCACCTCATCTGTAGGGTTTGTTCCTTCCTCGCACGTGGCAGCCTTCCTCTTGCCTGCTGGGGCGTGCTCCGCAGGATGCGTTCGGGTCTAACAGACTGCGGGTCACTGTGCTGCGGCGGTTTCCTCGCATGCCCTGTGTTGCAGGTAGTTGTTTGAACTTGTGGGAGAGGTTTTTCCATCATCTGACAAGGGAAGTGTTGCTGTTCTCTAGATTTGCTGTTTTTTTTGCCGCTATGCTGTAAGAGGAACGCTGCATGTAGGATGCATTGTTAGAGAAACCTTTTGCTAGAAATGCAGACTGTAGATACTGTGCTGAATAATATTTAAACAAGTTTGTCTTGTAATCTAGGTAAAGAATTCATAAACTTAGTGAATAAAGAAATCTTGACTATTTTTCTGCTGATCTCCTTTGGCATTTTGGCAGGAAGAAGTGCTTGCTTTTACATGAATAATTCCTCAGGTTTGTCTATTTTTTTTAATAATGTGACAAACCAGAAGAAATAACAACAGCTTTTGAAACTGCTTGTTTGACTTGGATAAAACTTGTTAGATGGTACTTAATAGCTAATTTTCGTATTTTTAATATGTAAAATAGTTCTAATTCTGTGCCTTATGTATCTTAACTGACTGGGATCATAGAGTCTGACCTACTATTTCAGATAGCATAAACTGCTAACAAATGTACTGTTGGTAGTATTTTGTTTCACCTATCATTCAGCAGAAAATAAAAGCAAATTGTATTTCACTGGAATTCTTTGTTTACATTTTAACACTGACATTTGGATCTCGATATGTAAAGTACATATTACTGGTTTGGGGAACATGGGGGAGAAGGGGATGTGCCTTGCTAATTATACTAAAAAGTTAGTATTAAGTCTAATATGCATCTTAAAATTTGTGCTGCAGCCTGGGTCTGGCCAGATGCGTTGGACATTGACAATTCAGATTCTGAATCGTGGACAGCCCATACGGTGAAAAAGCTGACGGCATCATTCGAAGCATCGCTTACAGCAGAAAGAGAACCCAAGATCCTGTCAAATCGTCACCAGGGAACGTTAAAGAGAAACTGTGATGACAATGAAAAGAGAAATGAAGTTTATCACAGAAAAATAATCTCTTGGTTTGGCGACTCTCCGCTGGCAGCTTTTGGCTTACATCAGCTAATAGAATATGGAAAGAAGTCTGGAAAAATTGCTGGAGATTGGTACGGGCCTGCAGTTGTTGCACACATTTTAAGGTAAAAATACCTTTATTCTTTGTTGTTATCGTGCCTTACACATTACAGGAGAAGCATTTCAAAGTGTCATGAGATTACTTCAGCTTAATTGAGCATCTAACTGTTCATTATTGGCTTTGTAAAACGTCCATATTAGTAGCAATTCTAGAGATTTTTCACAGGCAGGAAGGGAAATAGCGGTAGGTGCAGAAACAGAACTCTCAGCCTTTGTTCAATCTTATTTCAGGAAAAAAACGACATTCCCGTTTTCCTGTACCTTGGGCAGTAGAAGTCCCAAGTATCTCTCCCAAACCGGGGGTTTTAAGGAGAGCTGCATTTAATGAAATGTTCTAAAAACTAACCACTCTTTCAACCTTGGAACATGCATAACATTATAGATTTTTTTTTTTTTTTATACTGTAACCTGGGGGCTATAATGTACTGATAGTGTAATGAAATGTCAGAGCTAAAATTGATGTTTTCAGCATTTCTTTGCACACATCAAATTCTTGTGAAACTGTAAATGTATGGGACTATTAATATTATAATTATATCACAGTAAAAGTAAAGGGTCTATGACATTCAGTGTGGTTAAAAAAAAAAAAAAAGTCGAAAGTCAAATTTCTCCATACTATGTGCCTTTACATGCTATTTCTTTGAATACTACTGATTGGTTTGGTTTGGTTTTTTTATAGCCTTATATGCTTATGCTTTTAGTGGATTCCAGTTTACCTATAAACTGAATCACTAATAAGTCATTTAAGCTACAGAAGTCAGAGTTCATACTATCTATATAGTATATATCTATATATATGTGAAAAGTACATTAATCTTAAGTGAACCTGTACTGAAATAATCAGATGTGTATGTGTGCATACATGCTAATGAATAGAGGGATGCGAGAGGTTAGCATTATTCGTGTATTTTCTTCTGGGTTGTTTTTTTTTTCTGATGATAGGAACTGTCAGAATTCTTTTTTCTTGCTTTAAATTGCAGTAGTCTGTTTACCTAACGGGAGCGGGGGGTGGGGAGGATTTGGTTCAGAATTCCATTCAACACAATCCCACTGGTGATTTCCAACTGCAAAGGTTCCTTTCCTACATCTCCTTTCTCTCTCACAGCAGCACTAACAATGTATAGCTCTCTCATAACTTGAGAACGACTGTATTAAACGATTCTTCAAAATATATGGTGAAATAAAGGGATAGTGACCATTTAATGCAAGCGTGTATTGAAGTCAGAGGCTAATCTTCTATTTTGAACAGTTTAATTTCTTTACATATGTTGTCCTTGATTGATGATCATGCTTCAAACTATCGACATATATTTTCTTTTTAGTTTTTAGGTCCATTACTCTTACTCTTTTGAGGATAGCCTAGTATTGCAATTTTCTTTTTGAAAGTTTTGGTGAAACCTTACAGCTTTTTATGTGCAAGCCTTTATTTCCATAGACATGAGGTGCTAATTTGTGGCTAGTTAGATGAACTGAGGTCAACTAAAGAGATCTATTGAGATGAAAATAATATTTTTGTCAGCAAATTTAACCTTTGTTATCCCAATGTGCATGACAGAAAATCGTTACAAACAGAAAGAAATTAGGTAGCGAATACAAATTTCATTGTAATTTAATGTGTTTCTTTGGGCTTTTTTTTTTGTGTGTGGTTTTCATTGTTTCTTCTAAATAGCCAGACATTGTCATCTTTGCTTGGCAATACCACATTGCAATATACACCGATCTTGGTATCCAGTGTTTAAAAACAAACAAACAACACCCCCCTGAATCTGCATCAGAAACAGAAGGTGTCATGAATTAAAAAAACCAAAGAAACAAAACCCCAAAAAACCAAACCCCAAAAAACCCCAACAGCAAACAATTAAAACCAACCTGTTTCTAAAAATAAAATTAATTATATTTATTTACTGTTAATTTCTTTAAAATCAGAGATGAGTTAAATAGTTTTGTGTTTGTACTTAGAAAAGCTGTTGAAGAAGCAAGAGACCCTGAGCTACAAGGAGTAACAGTCTATGTTGCTCAGGATTGTACAGGTAAATGTTGTGATTATGTAGATTTTTGCAAATATTTTAGATGCTTTTTATGCCTTCCAGTAAGCACTTAACAATAGAGCTCTAAAGGTAAAAATAAAGTAAAAAATGGATCCTCAGAATTGAGATTCTGTAGACAAAGGTGTTCTTGGTACATGCAGATGTTTGTTCTCTTTGAGAATCAGACATCACAACTTGAAAGCTTTGTACATTGCTTGTTTGGTATCTTACAGTGGAAAAGTGGCATTCAAATCCAGCAAGATAACTTTTTCTTACCATTTGCCTGTTGTGATTTTTTGTGTTGGATTTAAATCACTTAATAATCTGCTTTGTACACACTCCAATGTTGTTTTAGCAATTAGCTAGGAAGAAATTCCGTATCTTATTAAAAATAAACCCCCCCAAACAACTGAAAAATATTTCAGTCTAGTTAGAGTAGATTTGTTAGTTACCTTTTTTTGTCTTTTGCATCACAGGATTCTCTTTTACCCATTTTTCTAGAGGGGAAACACCCACTGCACCAGTCCCTTAGTAGTAAGAGGTCATTCTCGCTTGGAGTTCAAAGATGCGAGCAGGATAGTGAATCTGAGTCAGTGGTAATCTTTCTTCTGCTCCAATGTGGCATTTTAACTAATCAGTAACAGGCAGAGGAGCTTAGAGCTCTGGATGTTCAAAAGCAGAAAATGATGACAAGATAAACTAAACGTGTAGTGAAACTTAACGCTAATGACTGTAGTCTTTCAAAGCTAAGCACAATGTATTACTTCAGTAGCCATGTTCAGCTGCCAGAAATTCTAGTTATGTCATAACTGATCTTGGGATGGGACAGACAAGACCGACATCCCTGGGTAATCAATCAAACTGGTTTTAAAGAGATACTGTTTAATCATACGCTACAAACCAGTTTCACCTGACTTCCTGTGACAGTGGCAACTTTTAAAATTCAATTAATTTTTCGCTTCTTTGTTCCGGTGAGGATTTTTTGCATCTCATAGTTTGGAGGGAATAAGCAGTAATACTACATTAAGTTTTTTCACTTATTTTCGGGAACTGTGTTGTGTTAACTTTAGACAGTGAACTTTGAGTATTTATTAAAATCAATTACTGTCTTTTTTTTCCTTTAACATGTAGATGTTTCTGTTAGGTGTAGGCTTTCCAGTTTTAAATTACTCCTTTTAGAAGAAGTTTATATCAAGTGAATAAATATTTATTGGTTTTCTCCTAACCTAGCAGCAGCACATTACCATTCTACAGAATATTGCTGCAAATAAGGCGGCATAACACTGTTTTTCATCAGTCGCTCAGGAGTTA